AGGGTGAATCGGAGTCATTGAATCAAATTCTTATTCTATGAGAACATTATCGACTTCAAAACTATTTTGAATTATAACGCGTGCAATCAATTATTAGGTGTAGTAAAAAGAAATCCATTATTTTTGCATGAAATTGAATGGAAAAATAATGGATTTCTTTTTACTACACTTAATATTTTTTCATAGGTAAAAAACTATTCAACGACTCTGATTCACTCTGTATACATATACATGATATGTTACTCTCTCCACACCTTCACCTACAAGTACACTCTGGCACGCGATTAGTTTGATGATGATCTCCGTCAACTTTAACAACTGTCATTTGATTTCAATAAAGGTTCTTCAGTAGTCGTATGTCGAGATCATCCGATGTATTGCTTCGATCAACTGCGTATACTCTATCAAACACTTTCTCAAAATCTATGAAGCACGAAAACATGCTTTTAGAATTTCCTGCATTTTTGCAGCAATAACATTCATACAAAACAGCATTTCTCTTGTTCCTATTCCGCCGCGAAAACTGAGTTTTCTCCATGATACCCAGCGTGCATTCGACCCTGTATTACCCGTAACAGGATTTTTAAGATGTGGCTCATCAAGTTGACGAGACGAAAATCAGACGAAAACATCTATTCGGCTTGCATTTTTTCGATAGCGGTACAAATGTTGATTATAACCATTCAAATGATACGTCACCAAACTGATAAACTTGATTAAACAATGCTATATTCTGATGCCTCTTTCATTAAGCAATTTTAATAGCTCAACTAGTATTTCGTCAGGTCCAGGAGCTCTGCGATTGCTGGCATTCTGGATGGCCGAGTTTTCCTCTGAAGGGAGAATGCTCCCGTTATGTGATTCTCCAATTGCTCCTCTCCATTGAAGTGAAAAAAGTGTTGAATATATCTCGTCCATTCGGCGATTAGGTCTTCAGGATTTACAATAAAATGAATTTACCATCAGAGTTTCGTAACATGATAGGACTTGAGATTGACTCGAGACTCCTGAACATTCCAGAGGTTTGTTGATTTCATTGTAAAAATGGAAATCATGCATTTCCTGCAGCCGTTTTATTTCCCTGCACCTTGTCTTCCTTGGCTTTTCTGATCTTCCTCCGAATTAAACCGATTGATATTGAACTGGATCCTCATTTTTGAAAGATCTTCGCCACTTCATCAAATTCAGGATCTCATCATTCAATCCAATCTTTCGTTTTCAGCCGTTTAATATTCCTAAACTTTTCATTAGGCTGAAAGATTGCATTCTTAATTTTACTCAAACCCAAGTTCACGCCGTTATTAACCAATTCGGTAGTATGTTGGTCAGATCGGAATTGATTTCTTGCTTTGGCATTTTTGCTGCCTGGGACGACCGTAGCCCTTCTAAATAAAATTTTCGCTGCTTGTTATTTACTGTTACTTTTTTCAAACGCAGCTTCAATTTTGCACAAAACAGATTACGATCAGAATTGATGTCTGCCGCTGTATATATTTTCACAGATTTTATATTATATTATTTTATTATATTTTCACAGACTTTGAACGCAATTCCTAAACTGCTGATTTGTCAAGATGTATTAGATTTGTTTTCGGACGCTTCTTTTATTTTGTCCGTCTGGCGGAGATCTCCAAGTATAAACGGTGTCTTGTAGGTAATTGAAACCAGGTGTTCGGAATCACCAAGTCATTGTCGATGCAAAACTGCACCAGGCGGTCCCCTTTTTCGTTTCTTTTCCCAAGTCCGAACTGACTAGTCACTTTATTTGTGGTGATTCATCCATCTTTCGCGTTAAAATCCCCTATAATATATAATATTTACTTCAGTTATCTTTAAATACGAAAGGACCTCAACGATCTGCTAGTAAAATTCTTCGATCTCTTGACCTTTTTTATTGGCCGTAAGTGCGTAGACCTGAACAATGTTTATGTTGACTAGGCTTCCTCTTCTATAAGATTTATTATTTTTTATACTTTAGATTTGTTTAAATAGATTAATTGACAATAATCATACTGACTAACTACAGAACATAAGAACATAAGAAGAAAAGAGGAATAATACATTTTAATGATTTTTATTGTTTCAGCGTGTTATAAGGACGAATCAAATTAAGCTTTTTAAATGATATTGTAATAAAAAGTATGAAAATTTTACCAAATATCGGTTAGAAATGCTTGTTATTTATAGTACAACAACATTGAACGATTGTATAGTATAACAATATGACCTAATTATGGTCGTAACGTCTGTTTTAATATATATTATTTTGTAAGGATTATTAAATATTAGCAACTAACAACTAACTTTTGCTCTTAATCTTTGATATTTTAAATTGTTCTATTCAATTGAGCTTTATGTATTAATCTTGATAAATAGACTAAATTATTTCATTATTTTATTATTTGTAGATTTTCTGATGTGTTCTTATCTATCTATGCAATATCATTTCTCTTTCAACTGGGCAATGTAATTATATCGTTGAGCTTCGGCGCGGCTGTGGTAAATATTTGAAATACATACAGTGAGTGCAAAAAGTATTCGTACAGAGAAAATATTTTTAAAAAATTATATTTTATTTTATTTTAAAAATAAATATTATCTAGCGAGAAATGAGTCATCGAATTGATGTCGAATCGATATAAATATAAAGATTTCAATTTGATGTCGATCGACATTTAATTAAGGATCATTTCTTATTGGATAATTTATTCATAAAGAATAGAATAGACTTTGATATGTTCCTTAAAATTATATGTCAAAAAGATATGTATTAATTATATAAAATATATCATCTGAAAAAAGAAGAAATTAAAAATTGTATTGTTTGAATGCTCAAAATATTCGTTCAGACGAGAAATTAAACTTCTAAAATCAGGAATATATGCGAAGCTCATTTGTTTATATTAGAACAGAATGTATTTATTATATAAAATTACTAATTAATGTTTATTTTCTACAAATAAGATTTTTTTTTATAACAAATTTCCTTGTACGAGTATTTTTGCTCTCACTGTATATGGAAATTTTAAATGATAACTGCTTTTTTATTTGAAAATGTTTAAAAATATGTAATTTTAGTTAATAACGATAGACCTTCAACTGGACGCAATTATCAGAATTCTTTCTTCTAATTTAGCGCAATTGATACATATATATTTCCTATGTTTCATTTCTCAAGGATTGATTGATCACAGCAGCGATTTCCAAAACGTAATGTACGCAATTTAATTACATTTATTAGCTAAGCAATTAAAAAAATATATATATATATTAGAACCACAGAAAATGAATTTTAAAATTCCTTGACTTTTCCATGTTTTCCAGATAAAAATAAAAAATTTCCGTGAGTAATGTAAAATATGTAAATTTTTATATTTAGACTCAAAGATTGTAGAAAAATTAGTCTATATTATTAAAAACAATGAAAAAGAATAATGAAAAAGAACAATGAAAAAGAACAATGGAAAAGAAGCTTAGTTGCATAGTATAATTTTGGATGTAAATTCAAGCCGGCCAAAAATAAATTAGTTTTGGAAAAAAGAATGTAATATGACGAAAAAGAGGGATAAAAAAAATACTGACTATAATAAAATTTGTAATCGTTTTATTAAAATAATTTAAAATGCACAAGTTTTGAAAGTATTTGACGATATAAACATCAGATATAATTTAAAAAATTGTAACAATTATTTGGAATGGAAGTTTCAAGTCATTATAAGCAAATTTTGAAATTCCAGACTTTTTTACATTTTCCTCTAACTTTTCCCGGTTTCTATGACCAATTTCAATTTCCTGACTTTTCTCAGTTTTCCAGATCTATGACAATCCTGTATATTATATCAGAAAAGATGTATTTGTAAAATTAGAAAAAATATATTTCAGTTGTTTTATATATTTATTTTCGTTTTAAACAATTTATTAATTAATGTCTAATGTCGTCATTTTAGGCTAAAATAACTAAAGTGTGAAATGTATTAACAGTTACAGCTGCGATTGGTATAAGATTTCGAGGAGATCGAAACAGCTCTTGAAATTTACTTTGCTGCGTACTACTAAGCCGTGCCAAATAATAGCTGGTAAAATGTTTATAATGTCGATGGAGAATTTTAGCTCGGTATGTGTAAACGTAACATTGTTTTGGTAATTATTTAAAATACAATATTGTGATATTACTTTTAGATCTTAAAAATATCTTTATCGTACTTCACAATGCTTACGTCACTACAACAAGTATCATAACTGAAGGTTTGTGATGGAATTATAAATATATAGTCTCTGGTGTAACAATATCATTATTGTTCTCATCTATTAACCATTTAATTTACTATATCAAATATATAAATTAAAACATTTCATTTTTTTCAATTTTTGAAAAATTTTAATGGAAAGTATATTAAAAAAGTTTTAATACACAATAATTAATATAAGAAATAAAATATATTTAAAAAAAATAGAAATTATATATGGATATACTGCGTATGCTTGTACACTCGTTCTTATTTAATAATTTTAATTTATTCTTTCTTCAATCTGGTAACATTATAATATTATCAATTAAGTTCCATTAATATATCATTCAACTGACAGATCATTCGTAGCGACAAATGACATAAGTAAACAACAGATCGTATGTAGTTATAAATATATGTAAAATAATAAAAGTAAAAAGATTATTTAAAATTCTTCAAATTCTTTATTGTAATTTATAATTTACATAACACTGTACTGATGGTATCTTGAAAAATATATATTTTAGAAATTTTCTAAAATATATATTTTTTTTCTATTAAATGTTTCAATAATCGATACATTCGTGGTCGATTCGTGCGTTAACTTGGCGTGGTTTAATACTAGAAAATTTCTTCGCCGCGATTGATGACGCGGATAATTCGGCAAGAGATTTTATCGTTTGAAGCTGAAGACTCTCTTGGATCGAATACTCTTGCGGAACTCGAGGTGGTTCGAGTATTTTCTCTC